TCGGTTAATTGGTTGATTGTTTTTTCATGGTGGTCTCCGCAGATGGACAAGGATCCACTGAAATGAATATAGTGGTCGACAACCACGTACATAGGATGGTTGAAGGAATATCATAGTCCAATGTGCTGAGGCAAATTCGGGCACGTGGTGATGGTGATGGTGTTTTTGGCATATGGCTCGCCGATGCTCGCACGGAGAGGAAATACCTTTACGAATGTAGTGAACGATATGAGTATGGCATGGCTTCGCAAATTCATGACATGGAGCAACGCCTGCTTTAGCGTGAGTCTAAAGTGTCTTATGGTATTGTAGGTAAGGTTCCAAACGATTCCGCAATGAAAAGAGAATGCGGTCGCTATATGACTGACGATGAAGGTCTTCGGTGGACACAGGACGAGTTGTTTGGCATGTTGAAGAAGAAGGAGGCGGAAGTGACTGCCTTGAGGAGTGCATTCGTAAAAATTGAGGTGAATGCACGATCAGTGCTTGAAAGTTTCTTGGAAAGGAAACAAAGTGAAGAGGTGACAGATTGGTCTTTATCCGGTAGTGTGGATACGACGAAGGACGAGAATGTTGGAGAGGACATTGCCAGCTAACTTACGTCTTTAATGCAATCCTCCATTAGAAATGACTTCCTTGACCAAGTTGCTGACCTTAGTACTAAAGTTGATACGCATGTGTCCCAAGAGTGTGAGTATTTGCGTCTACGCTGTGAAACAACCGAGTGTGGATTGGGAAAATTGTTGTCGGCAGGTGTTTTGTCATCAATAGATCCTTCTTTTGCATCGGAGGTGTTTGACCTTCCACCAGGTCGAACTTTAGAAGAGTTTATGAAAAGTTCTTTGATTGGTATGCTGCAAGCATTGCAAACAGTTGGTGTGGAGCTTGCACATCGAAATGCGTTTTTGGAGGTGCAAAATACAATGAGCTTTTCGGTAAGCGATAGCCAGTTGAGAGCGACAATTGTTACTCTGGGACAATTGTACAAGGACACACGACAAAAGTTAATGGACGCTGTGTTTGAACATAGTTTATCGGATCAGTGCGGTGAGGGACTGAAGGAGGACATTATGGCGAGTTACAAGGAACAGTTGTATAGCTTCAGAATTTTGTTAGCAAATATCATTGCTGCTCATCCGTCGGTACGGGTTATGAAGGAGATGGACCATGTAAGAAAACAATTGAATGCTCTTGCGCGCATAAATAAAAAACAAGAGACGAGATTACATGAGGTGGTGTTTGCATTGGTTGAAGCTCTGAGGCGTCGATGTCCAAAGTGTGGCCGCCTAAGCCATTTGACAAAGGGGGAGTATAGAAAGATAAATGGTTTGACGGTTGTTAGAGCTACGTGTGACAACACGACAACCCTTTATCCCCATGGAGATGTTGTTGCTGATGATGGCGAAAAGTTCGCAATGGAAGAAAGGAGAAGGCAGCTTCGTGGGCAGGACGATGTAGATGAATAGTGCGTTTTTTCTTTCTGGTCGCATATGCATTAGCTGGTGTTCGAGTGAGAATAGTAAGGGAGGGAGGAGCTAGAGTGGGAGGGAGAACGGGGACATGGGGTGGGATGATGAGCACGAATGAGTGCTTTCACATTTGTAGATTTCATTGATGCTGATGACACTTGAATGAGTTTACGATAAAATGCTTAAATTTTATATCTTTGGACACTTATATTTGAGTTTTCTCGCTCCCTCTCTCTGTTTCTCTTTCTCTTTCTCTCTCTCTCTCTGTCTATCTCTCTCTCTGTCTCTCTCTCTCTCTGTCTCTTTCTTTTTTTCTCTCTCTCTTTCTCCCTCTCTCTCTCTTTGTCTTTTTTTTTTTTT